AATTAGCATTTGAGGAACAAATCCGCACGACAAGAAAGAACAAATGTGAGATTTTTCCTAACTATGTAGCCTCTAGGGGATAAATACAGACGTCTCCGTACCGATCCTTCAGACTCTACTAAGTTTGTTCGTGAGTTGTGAGACCTATGTAACCTAGAGCTCTGATACCAACTTGTCACGACCCGGATTTCCCACCCTCGGGAGTCGTGATGGCGCTTACTAATGTGAGCTAGGCAAGTCAATCCTTAACTGCTTACTTCATTAACAATTTCTTCTTTTGACAATTATCAGTGACAACATGAAAGCAACGGAATTTAAATAATTATGCGGAAGACTTTAATTAAAGAATACAAAAAAAAAATAATGCGAGAATCAACATATGCCTCTACCCAAGAACTGGTGTCACATTACTCACGAACTTCTAAGAGTACTAAATACAACCGTTTGAAAGAAAATATAAATTGTTTGTCTCGAATACATGAGATAACAGACTAAAATAAAAGATAGAGGAGACGTCAGGCCTGTGGACGCCTGCAAGGCTACCTCGGTGTCTCACTGAACTGAAGGCTGGCTCCCGTGCTACTACTGCTATCCAAGACCTGGATCTGTGAAAAAGAGCACAGAGTGTAGTATCAGCACAACCGACCCCNGTGGGGAGGTAACAGTTTCAAATAGAAATCCCCAATAACAGAAAGAAGCAGCAAAGCCAGAATATCAACAAGAATCAAAAGTCAACAATTTGCAAGGCATCACCCTTCGTGCTTTTACTCTCATTCTCACCAAAACAATACACGGCATCACCCTTCGTGCTTTACGCTCTTCCTCACCCAAACAACAATCACAAGGCAAATAGGGTAAGGGAATCTATAACCTCGAAGTAAATCAAATAACAACAAGTAATGAAAGAAACAACATAACTCGGATATCAATAAGGAATCAGGAATCAACAAATGCACGGCATCACCATTCGTGCTTTTACTCTCGTCCTCACCAAAACAATCATATAATAAAAATATGCACGGCATCACCCTTTGTGTTTTTACTCTCTTTCCTCACCATATAATCAATAAAATCGGCACGAAATGGTACATTGTGCGGCACGACATCACCCTTCGTGCTTTACACTCTTTCCTCACAATAGCAAACAATGCACGGCATCACCCTTCGTGTTTTACACTCTTTCCTCACGATAGCAAAAAATGCACGGCATCACCCTTCGTGCTTTAACACTCTTCCTCACCCAGACAACAATCACAAACAAAGGGGCGAGGCAGTAGACAAATAATGGTAGAAATCCCAGCAAGGGAATACAATTAAGCAGCTAAATCCCGGCAAGGGAACAATATCAATATTCTCAGCTTCCCGGCAAGGGAAATAATCAACAAAACGACAAACATCCCGGCAAGGGAGCAATTTAATAATTCTTTCTCTTTTTTTCACTTTCACTTCTCATCTCACTTTACCACCTGAGTCAACGCTCCATAGGGGTTCAATCATCTCGTACACTTTCACAATTCGTATTATAACTCAAGCCACCACTCCTCGAAGTGCACGGATCAAAATTTCTTTCACATGCTTGTTCAATATATAGAAAATCATCATTAAGGCATGGAAGATACAACAAAATCAGAATATCCGCAATAGAAGGACTCACGGTCATACTAGACACCAACGTATAGATACTCGTCACCATGCCTATACGCCGTACTCGTCAATTAGCACGTAGCAAATAAGACTCAACTCCTAATTCCTCAAGCTAAGGTTAGATCAAACACTTACCTCGAAGCTTCGAACACCACTCAAGCCTCAATTATAGCTTTACCCCTTGATTCCAACACCAATCCGCTCGAATCTAGTCAGATGTTACTCAATTACATCAATAAGTGCTAAATGAATCAACTTCAATGCATGAAAATGAGTTTTCCCAAAGTTTTACTCAAAAAGTCAAAATCACTCTCGGGCCCACATGGTCGAAACCCGAGGTTCAGACCAAAACCCGTTTACCCATTCCCCCACAAATCCAAATGTCTAATTTTTTTTGAAATCGGACCCCAAATTGAGGTCCAAATCCCCAATTTTAGAAAACCTATGTTCTACCCAAAACACCCAATTTCCCCATGAAAATCTTTGATTTGAAGTTGAAATCATGTTANGGCCTGCAATATTTTCTTGAACCTCCAACATCTGATCTTTTAAGCCTACGGCATCTCGGAACCTATTCGAAACTCACGCGAGCCCTCAAAACTCTAACCAAAGTATGCACACTACCTCAAAAACACCCTACGGACATATTCGTGTGATCAAATCACCAAAATAACATCATGAACATCGAATTAAGCCTCAAGTTCAGTGAAATTTCTCATATTTCCTTTTAAACATCAATTCCCAATTAGGGTCCGGATCACGTCAAACGACGACCGTTTTTAACCAAACTTTACAGGAGTAATTCAAAACATATATAAGACTTGTACCGGGCGCCGGAACCAAATTACGGGCCCGATACCATTACTTTCTAATCAAATTTCATTTAAATTTTCCTTAAACATCTTCAGTAAACAATTTTACTTAAAAATTCATTTCTCGGGCTTGGGACCTCGGAATTCGATTCCGGGCACACGCCCAAGTCCCATATTTTCCTACGGACCCTCCGGAACCGTCAAATCATGGGTCCTAATCCGTTTACCCAAAATATTGACCAAAGTCAAACTTATTCATTTTAACACCAAAATTTAGCATTTTTCACAGAATTTCATATTTAAGCTTTCCGGCTACGCGCTCGGACTACACACGCAAATCGAGGCGACTACAAATAAGGTTTTCAAGGCCTCGGAAGCACGGAATGGATAAGAAAACAGGTGATGACCCTTTGGGTCGTCACTTTCCTCGAGTTCTTATAGATATGGACCATAAACATCAATAATTTGATTTACCATTCCATATTTCAGGAATACGTCATGTAAAGACTGTAATTTATGCTTTAGTTCCGTTAGAGTAGTATCTTCTTCGCAAGCTATCAATGGATGAATTCTGACAGCAATGCACCTACATTTACACGATATCACTTTAGTCACATAGGAAGGTCAGGTCACAAAATACATTATCATATTTTCTCTTTGGAGTAGAATAATGCAGCTTGAAGGTACCATTTGCTTTCACTACTTTCAAGTGTGTATTTCAGCCATTGTGATTGACTATCTCCAGCACCATTTGAAGTAACCTAGCAAGAAGATAAATAAAGTTAAAAGTTTACTGAAAGCTCGACAGCAAAAGGCTAACCAACTTTCAAGGCTTGTTGAATATAGGCATGATAAAAGCAGTTTTCTTGAAGAACCATTTTTATTTTCTCGAAAACCAAATTCCAATCCAACGGGAAAAAACGAAGCAAGACAGGGAATCAGTTGGGGGAGAGGCTGAAACAGAATCCAGGCAATGAGGTAGCTATGGTACAAAATAGGTCTTAAGCCATTTTTGCACTCATAATTGTAGCAGTTTACAAACATATTCATTCTTCTATATTCATCCATTTCGCAAATTCACATTGATGTTCAACGTTGACTAAAAAGTTAAAATCTCTAAATTTGAAATATGAGGGAATTCCTGATTGTATGTATAATGCCAAGTGCAAATTTAAAAGCCAAATAATGTTCAAAGAAGACAATCGAAAGTGCTTATAGAACCCTACTAACTGCCATAGTAGGAGGTATCACAATCCCTCTTTTCATCCGAAATTACTTATGACATTATCAAATCTAACACAATCTAAAATTTGGCAAAGTTAATAAGATTATCAAATATGAGGCAAGCTAAGATTTGAGAAGTTATTTGATCCTCTGGTGTTGAACCTCTTAACTGTTGTATTGGAAGTATTATTCAATAACCTTATACTAATTTGACGGATAAGCGACAAAGAAGTTAAAAGTGAATACTATTCAGATGACAAGGAATCGCATTTGCAAATACTATCAGTGTCACAACCCAAGTGCGCCCTCCTTGAACTGTCGTGACGGCACCTAATTTCTACGACTAGGTAAGTCTAACAATTGCGGAAAAAGAAACAAAATGCTGAAAAACTAATAAAAACTGAAGATAAGTAAATATAGAAACGTTTAAGATGTCGCTCGGCATATACTAGTACAAGATCTCACAAACTGCACAACTTCTCAAAATCCGAAATCTCATGAAATCACAAGATGTTGAATAACTACAAGTGTCTAACTCCAGAATGTCTAAACAAAAGTAAATACATAAGGGCCGATACTATAAGAGAGAATGGAAAGGGACTCTTCGGTCTGCGGATGCGGAAGATATACCTCGAAGTCTCTGGAGAATCGTCTTGCCTCAAGGGTAGTAGGGCGGTCGAAGTACCTCGATCTGCACATGAAAAACATGTGCAACAAGGGCATGAATACACCACAGCAGTACTCAGTAAGTGCCAACTGATTATAGCTGAAAAACGAGGTAAAAGAGTATAGAATACGACAATATAAATAAATGTTAACAGTATGAAGTAACACAGGATAATAAGAATAACAACTATAATCGAGACAAAATAATCACAGAAGGAATACAACTCAACCCAGAGATAACAACTGGGAATCTCCCAAGATACCGTCCTGTAGTCCAAATATAAATACTCGAGGATCTCTCGGTATCCCGAAGATTTCTTAATATCCTCAATATATGTGTTGGGAATCTCTCGGTATCCTGAGGACCTCTTAGTATTCTCAATATATGTTCTAGGGATCTCTTAGTATCCCGCACTACAGTTCAAATCAATATATGTGCAGGGGGATCTACCGGAATACAAATCCGTAGTCCCAAAGTAAACATGCAGGGGGATCTCCTGGTATACCGTCCCGTAGTCCCAAAGTAAACACACAACAACAACACGAAGAATATCAATTTAATTCAAATTCCATACCAAGGTAAAACAGGTATTTCTAACCTAGCATGCTACACATAATCCAAATAAGGCAGTTTGAGCAAGTAAAGCAATTAAGTCAATTGGACATGCTTCCATAAGCTAATAGCAGGCTTAAATTGCAAGTAGTATAAACAGGAAAGGAAACACAGTTAAAGTTACTTAATGAAAACGGATTTTCAACAAATAGCACAAGTACGCACTCGTCACCTCACGTACAGGGCATTTCAAATATCAACAATACCAAATCCTAAGGGGAGTTCCCCCACACAAGGTTAGGCAAGCCACTTACCTCGAACTGGCTCAAAATCAACCCGAAACCACGCTCTTGCCACGAGTACTCGACTCCAAATGGCCCAAATCTATTCAAATCAATTGCATAATGTAAATATAACTTCAAGTAACTGGTTCCACTAATTAATTATAAACTAATACGCAAAATTAGGAAAAATGACCAAAACGTTCCCTGAGCCCACGTCTCAGAATCGGGTAAAATTTACAAATTCAAAATTCCCATACTCTCACGAGTTCATTTATACCAAAATTATTCCAATCCGACATCAAATTCTAGATCAAAACCTCAAAATTAGGCTTAAGAACTTTTCCCCATTTTTCTCCAAATGATGAATTTAAGCATAGATTCATGGAAATTAATCAAAACCGAGTAAGAATTACTTACCCAAAACACCCAGGTGAAAATCTCTCTCAAAATTGTCAATCCCGAGCTCCCAAATCAATTTTCCAAGTTTTGAGACTAAACCCTCGTTTCTGCCCTTTTCTGACCAGTAAAACCACATCTGCGGCCCTGGGACCGCACATGTGGTCCCGCTTTTGCGAAGACCAAGTCGCACCTGCGAATTTTCATTAAACCCAAATTTCCGCTTCTGCAACTGCCTTTCTGCACCTGCGATCTCGTAGGTGTGTTCCACTTTTCGCACCTGCGGCTTTTGGAGCCTGGACCAAATTCCGCTTCTACGGTCACCTAGCCGCTTCTTTGGCGCCGCACCTGCAGTCCCATACATGCAGGTGCGGTTATGACAGGTTCAGCAATCAAATTTTTGCCTAAGTCCAAAATCAATTTTTGTTAAGCACCTAAAACTCACCCGAGGCCCCCGGGACTTCAACCAAATATACCAACCAATCCTAAAATGTCATACGAACTTGTTCCAACCTTCGGAACACTCACACCAATTTCACATCGGATTCAAGCCTAAGAACTCCAAAAACTCTCAAATTACGCTTTCGATCAAAAAGTCTATCAAACCTCGTCCGAATGACCTGAAATTTTGCACACATGTCACATTCAATACTATGGAGCTACTCCAACTTCTAGAATTTCATTACAACCCCGATATCAAAATCTCACTATCGAACTGAAAACTTCAAAAATTCAACTTTCGGCATTCAAGCCTAAATAAGCTACGGACCTCCAAAACACAATTCGAACACGCCCCTAAGCCCGAAATCACCCAACAGAGCTAACGGAACCAACAGAATTCCATTCCTAGGCTGTCTTCACACTGCTCCGACTGCAGTCCAAATTCTAAAGATTAAGCTCTTTTTTAGGGACTAAGTGTTCCAAAACACTCCGAAACTCAAAACCAAACATCCCAGCAAATCAGAATAGCAGCAAGAAACATGGGGAAAGCAGTTAGTAGGGGATCAAGGCGTTAATTCTTAAAACGATCGGCCGGGTCGTTACAATCAGTTAGTGGAAATCATATGTCTGTCCAATAATGCAATCAATTAGTGGTCGAGTAAGGATACCAAAGCAACAAAATAGAAAGCAAAAATTTCCTACATCGTTCCACCTTCAGCAACATATAAAAAAATCATTATATATACATAACTAAGCAACTTTAAAGACATGTTAAACATGTAACTGAATACATACATTGTCATAATCTGGATATTTAACCAAACAGGAATTTCATTAAGTAATTGCTCCTAGCTTTGAGAGTCTTGCTCGCCCAAGGGATGAATAACAAGATCCTAATAAAGCACGATGAATTTCATGTAAGCAAATATTCAACAAAGGTTGAAACGGACAAAACCATACCGATACAAATACATTCTCCTTTTGGAGAAAAGATTTCCTACACGGCAGATTTTCAATGAGTATCCTAGAATTCCCTATTACAATATTTTCTACTCTTTTTACGCGCAATTGATATGGGAACTAAGTGCATACTGTTGTACATCAAGGACCTATGTACAGTTGTATATCAAGGACTTACATTACACTTTTTAAATTCTTTTTAAGACGTAGTCCAATTTTATAGATTTATCCAAGAATGACTTCTCTATTCAGTTTTCTACTTAGTTTTGCTACTGCACTGAAGCACCCAATTAATAATAATAATAATGGCAGGTTTGACACCACTGTTTGGCGAAACCATTAAAATAGTAAAACTACCGGTAGAAGCGAGATGCATGAAGGTCAAATTATAAGTAAAAGTGCACAAATAAAACAAGAGGGAAAGTACCTTGTGCTTCATCAAGATAAGGTAATGTGATGTTTCATAATAATTTTAAAACCATTTTAAGCATGTAACGTACCACCAAACTCTGCGAAGAATCAATGTGAACTATTGAATCAAACAGAGCTATTAAAAGGGGGAAAAGCTAAAAGTAATGATTGACCTAACAAAACTTCCTACCAACTGAAAAGAGAAATACAAAATCCAGCAGATGAGCAACAACAGCTTATCAGAGTCTGCAGAAGATGTTGAACTTCAACAACTGTATCAATAAAGTATCCAAATTATAAATAAATTTCAAGCAGAGCTCCTTAGATGGATTTAATATTTCAGTGATGACTCGGAGGAAGAACAATGAGATAATTAGCTAAACTTGTCTGGTTAATTTGGAAACTAAAACCCATAAGCTTTTTATGGTAAGAAATTTATAAATATGATGTAGCAAGGCCAATCAAGATGAAATTGTCTATAATTTCACAAACTGTCCCAGCCAACAATTTACCCAATTTGAACAATTTTTACCCAGCTAAAATTCCAAAAATCAGGAAAAGAAGAAATCAAAACCCACCTTATAACTATAAGCAAAATATAAAGAGAGAAAACATACAATTTCAAAGGACTTTTGGTCAGACAAGTTGATATGCAGCTTTTTTCTCAAGAGAAAAGAGTACCATTAACACTTGCTCAATTTAAAGGACTTCTGGTTAAGTTTCCATGAGCAAACTTGAATTGTTTAAGGTAGTCATTCCCTCCTCGTCCTTTGAGAGCTTGAGTAGAGTACCTACAAGTTGAGGATAGCTGAAGGAAAACCACTAAGACAATTCATTTCAAATGATGAAATCCAGTTCTAAAAGGGGAAAAGTTAGTCCAAGAGAACAAATTGTTTATTCATAGAGGAGCATACCATGGAATCTTCGTAGAACTAACATGCCAAGTAGCCTTCCAAGGAAGGGGCCGGTGGAGGTGTAAGATTATCATTTCGTCAAATTGTAATTGCCAATTTAAGATGGATACATTTTTGTCAGATAAAGTTGTGAACATGTGTTTCTGTAGTAAGTTCACAAGCCAAACATCCTTTGCACAATAAGAGAAGTTAACAAGCAATGTCTCCTAATATAAGTTCTTGCATAGTTAAACAGCTTGTCTTCAAAAAAGCTATATTTCATCTTCTAATACTTTCTATCTTGCTTCTAATATTTTCCATTTGCACTTTTAAGAACCAAAGTTTAGAATGCTCTAAGCCAAAATGAAGGTAAACATATACAAGCACATCATATAAGTGAATACAATATGATATTCAATCAGTAAAAGACAAAAAAAAAAAACTTATATTCATGTCTTATTCATTTGTTAAAAAAAATGGCACTTTCAAGCTGGTTCACACAATCTAGAGACAAACTTTAAAGGAACAATTTTGGAAGAAGAACACCTTATGATTAAGCAAACTTTGAAGCAGCCAGAACTAATGAGTGCTCGTGCTGGTCAATCCTCCTTGTGTTATTCAGTGGTTTCCGACATCCCTAACGAATTCTGTTGTCCAACTTCACTTGACTTGATGAGGGACCCTGTGATAGTAGCATCAGGCCATACTTATGATCGAAATTTAATTGCTCAGTGGATAAATTCAGGGCACCACACTTGTCCAAAAAGTGGTCAGTGGCTGATACATATGGCTTTCATTCCCAACTACGCACTAAAAAGTCTAATCCATCAGTGGTGCCAAGAGAACAACATCCCAACAATAGAACCTACATTATCTCCTTCAGATTCAGAAGGTAACAGCAATAGTAAGATTAAGAAAGGTGACAAGGCGATTGACTACATTTCTGCTACTAAAGCTGCCACAGATGTTGTGAAAATGACAACAAAGTTTTTAGTTGGGAAACTGGAAACAGGATCTACAGCTATACAGAAACATGCAGCGTATGAGCTAAGATTGCTCATGAAAACT